GGGCCTGGGCATAGGACAGGGGGCGGTCTGAGCGTTTCCGCTTGCTCCAGCCGATGCACCGTGTAAGGAACTGGCGGTGGGTCCCATTGCGCTTGGTGTAGTGCTCCGCTGTTAGGCTCCACGGGGCGCACCCATATAGACTAGGGGAGTTTCCACCACTTCAGCCTGGAATAACCGGATCTTGAGCTGGCGGTCGGCCCGTCGCCTGTCGAACATCGAAGCACTGTTACGGCGGTAGCATCTCCACGCTCGGCAGCTGCGGCTCGTGATCTCCCGGTCGGCCTTCCCGTCCGCGGAGATGGTACGTCCGAGGTACACAAACCGATCTGTCTGCTTGTACGTCTACCCGACGGCGCTGACCGTGAACGGGTGTTCCTCGATCCCTTTTGGCAGCATGCACATGATCTCTGTCTTTGGCTCCGACACCATCAGTCCGAACAGGCCGGCCACGCGCACGATGACCGACATCATCTTCTCGAGACTCTCCGGCGAGCGCGAGACGATGGCCGCGTCGTCAGCGTAGAGCATGGCCCACAAGGCCTCCGCGTCCGTCACCACCGTCGTCTTCCTCCCCGCCGACCTGCCCTTCTTGCCCGTGTACTCCACTTGTGTCCCGATCTTGACCATGTCCGCCGTCACCTTGGGGTCCTTGTCGAACTCGGCCACGGCGACCATGAGCATCGCGGCAAAGAACAAGCTGAACAGCAGCGGGGCCAGGTTGCAACCCTGTCGGGGCCTTAGCCCACGTCGAACCATTTCCAGCNTCATGTCCGCCGTCACCTTGGGGTCCTTGTCGAACTCGGCCACGGCGACCATGAGCATCGCGGCAAAGAACAAGTTGAAAAGCAGCGGGGCCAGGTTGCATCCCTGTCGGAGGCCTTGGCCCACGTCGAACCATTCCGAGTACTGCCCGTCGTCCGTTCGGACGCGCGCCCTCATGCCCTCGTGGAAGTGGCGAATGACCGCCAGCATCTTCGGGGGCACGCCGAAGCGTCGGAACACGTCCCACAGTAGGTCTCGGTCCACCGAATCGTATGCCTTGGTGAGGTCGACGAAGCACGAAACNGTCGCCTCGAAGGCGCTGTTCTTTGAGGCCCCACGCAGTTGCTGCTGGGCCGCCTTAATCTCTTAAGACGCTTCGGAGATCTCGTGCTGCGCTTCGCTCGTGTACCAGCCTCTCTGCCCTCGTGCGCACCTCGCCAGCGGCGCGGTCTCAGCAGCGGCCGACATCACCGTAGCCGTCAGCTCGGCGGCGGTCTATCCCGTTGGCTGCCTGAGCGCCGTGGGCGGAGGGCGGCTGGAGGTTCTGTTTCGGAAGGCGACCCGTAGGTGTTTGTCCTTCGTTAACCGCTCGAGGTCGATACGGATCCGGCTGCTTCCGCTGTTCCCCCGCACTCGTCATGTGTACCTCCAAATACCATAACACAACAGCGAGAACGCCAACACTTCGGGAGCGTTTCGAATCAAATGTGTTGTCGAGCGACCGGCCAAGCAGTCTTTGAAAAATCGTCGTGGTCGTCTTCATATCGCAGGACGCACTTGCCGGAGATGAAAGCGGCCAGGAGGCAACCGCGGAAGCTCAGAAGCTGCAAAAACGAGTGAGAGAAGCGAAGCAGAGAGCAATGGACGCCAAGGAACAGCTAGAAAACGAACGTCAACAGACTAAGAAGGTGAAGTAAGAACCATGCCAATGACCGTTGGGGTGAAATTGACAAGCGTTCGGATGCTTGTAAGTCCTTACAACGGCAGGTGGTTAATCCGATGTATCAGGGAAATCGCGAGGGTCATGAAAGAATACCGTGGAAACGTGAGGCAGACCACGGGACCCGGTCAGAGCACACACCAGACAGCGGTATGGACTATTCCAAACGCTTTCAGCCATAGAATCTCATTAGCGAAAATCGTTCTTTGCTTAACATCGAAACGTTCGTGTTGCCTACCCGCGAAGAACACGAGACGACCCGCTCTCATAAATCCGCGAGGGCGACGCAGCTTTCGAACGAAAAGTAGCACCCGACACCCAGAGGCGGGTGGATACTCATCAACACTTGTAGTTTGGGGCGTACGTCGATATTTTTCGACTGAGCTCCTTAGCAAAGTAATGGACATACGTTCACAGGTAGCGCAACCTCCTACTCTCACATACCAACATGTAGGCAGAACGGCAGGTGGCACAAGCAATATAAATTCTAGTGGAATTGCCAAGACGCCGGCTTACACATGCACACCCCTCCATACTGTCTCAAACAACCTCTAGGTAGGGTGGCGGGGTGAACAACCAGTCCGACACTACGGTAGGAGATATCAAACTCCGCCGACCAATCTCAAGGCTGCATCAACACAGGATCTGCAAAACGTCTTGTTAACGACACGAGTCTGCGTTCCCAGCCCGCGACAATCGGGTGGGGCGCGAGAGAGATAATGCGGGGTGAAGGGATTGCCCACACACTTTCAATATTAAGCGTTTGACTTTCCGACGTCTCAGAACCTACCTTCACGCATGCGACAGAGATAAGACCTCCAAGGGACGGACGCAAGCGCGAAAACGGAAACGGAACGATCCCGCCATTAAAAACAGTGACGCAAATTGATCTTACTGGGAACAATGGGAACAACCGAGCACAACATACTTTACACCATTGGTTACAGACCGAATGAATATCACCTTTCAGACTAAAACAGTCGAACATTCGCACAAGATGCCGCAAAAGCACTGCCCCCGCGATGCCAACGTTTTGAACCCGCCTTGTTCTGCTGCTGTCGTCGTGTGGTTGTTTGCTCTTTTCCTTGGTTCTGCTGCTTGCAGGAGAAGGCTGCACAGAAAGCTAAAGAAGCCAAGGCGAAGGCAGAGTTGGATGCAGCCAGACGGGTGGCCGAGGAGATGGGCATGGGTAGTGTGGGTAAGGCTGATGGCATCAGGTTAGCCGCACACCGAATCAAGAGGAAAGTCGCTGGGAACAAGGTGCGACACAAGGATTTGGGGTCTTCACTTTCTATACGGTGAAATTCGTCCTTTTTGGTGCAGGGTTTGGGGTTTCGGGCTAGCTGGGACGGGTGTGGGTGGAAACCTGCGGATCCCCCCACCGATCGAGTGCTACTCGACTTGGAACTTCCTCTTGTTTGTAAACACTGTAAGTTTTCCAGAAGCTCTGGCCTTGGCACGTCAGTTCTTCATGCCGAACATGGTTATTGTAAATAGTTGATGCGTCTCTTCCAGCTGCGTTGAACAACGGAGGAATGGTTTGTCCTTTATCCCCTTCTTTCGAGCTTCCATCGGACATTGCCAACGGTACCGTCCTAGAATATGTGACGGGCAAGGGGTTCAAGCCAGACCTCCTCTTGGTCGCAGGGAGCGGACGTGTAGCGCCACACTTCGCGTATGGGGTTAGCATACCGTCGTTTCACCATGAAAGCATGAAGAAGGCATGATGTCAACAAAGCACACCCAACTTAACATCACATCAATAATATAGTACACTATTGGTTGATGATGGCCGGAATGGCTTCGGTGGAAGGGAATACATGTAATGCGAGGGGTGACATTCATCGAAACTTTCAGATACATTCAGTCACCAGAGATCTATCCGATGCCGTCGGTGAGTGCATAGATGACAACATTCGGGGTACAATGTGTTTCGTCGAAACCCTCCGACGGGAACACTTCCAACCACTTAAGGATAGATTCCTACACACCTTCCAGCTTGGTGTTGGTTGTGTCCAACGACAGCGACACATTAATCGAGCTACGATGATGATGGGATATCACGGCTACCCTTCCTTTCCATGCTCCCGTACATCAGTTCTTGTCTCAAAATGTCACGTAGAGGCTGCCAATCCGCTACGTGTCCTAACGTGAGGACGTCGACGTATTGGGAATGTACAGACGGTGTACGGAGGGGCGTTCGACAATGAGAATGCGGCTGTGGAAGCTGCCATCAAAAGTAGGCACAAGGCCAAGCTGGGCAAAGTCGAAGCAGTCGTCGAATTCGCCTTCACAGTCGGCGCGGAGGAGACCGATGCCATGGCCTCCAAACAGGTGTTTCGAATACATCGTTTCGTCGTCGTTTTCGTGTTTTCTCCTTGTTGCTGTAGCTGTCCTCGTAGTCGAGATCCTCAACATTAGACGATACGGTTCGACAGCCAGTGGAGGTCGATATCGTCGTATCGCAACCGCACACCGAGGGTGCGGCTTTCAGTCTCGACGAACGCATCGTGACTTAATTTGCACCATGGGGTACTGAAGAGGAACCACCGGGCAGACATGGGGTCGCACGTACGGGCAACATCCTCCATGTGCACCATGAAAGCCTTGCCCCAATGCACCGTTCTCCTACCGGCGGCACCTAACGAACAGGCCAGGCTTGAATCGCAAGGGCTACCCAGCTTTCGAAAGATGTCTAAAGGGCTCGGCGGTAAAGACGTCGTGTTTTTGTGGGTCAGAAAGACGCTCGACTCATCAGAGTTCATCACCGAGCTACAGATCACACACGCGGATCCCTCAAACGCCGGGTGGGTGTGTGCCACTTTTTTTTAGATTTTAAGTTCGGGATTCCCTAGGTGCACTCTTCGGCGGTATGAACGCATGCTTTGCGCAGGTTTGTAAGCTTAGGCTCAAAAGTATCGGCGAGAAGTAGCCACAACGGTTGAGGTACTCATGATTTTCCTCACCCTCAGGACAGTGCCAGGCTGCACTGAACACCACCAAAACATATAGAGACAATATATATATATATATACCTCGGATCCATGCCACGAAGGCAAGGCTTGTTGAATATCGGTCGGCACACAATCGGTGTCTGTAACCCATTTGTCTGATGAAAGGATGCAACGGGGAATTCCCCACCTTTGTACGGAAGTGCGTCTTCAAGGTAAACACATATTTTATCATTTCGCAGTTCGAGACAGGCCTTTTTTCTTGTTTCGTTGAACGCGGCGACGTCGCTCTTTTCTGCGCTTCCCCAGCTACAAGAACTTGAAGCCGCTCGGGTTTACGTGTTGGGGTCATCCACAGCTGGCAGCGAGGGTTGGCGGGCAGCCAAGCATTTTGCTGTGGGGCAAAAGGGACCCACACAGCGATGGTATCGCGGACATCGACCTGTCGTACAACCAAGCAGACGAGGTGCAAAGCTCGAGACTCAAGGGTTCAGTGCCGGGTACTAGTTACAGTATCTGCATTCTGCTTCTCGGTCGGATACTTAAGTTGTTGATGAGGACGTCCCATTGATGGCCTTGCCTTCCTACAATACAGGATATCGACGTTGGTTGACCTTGCTTTGGGTAGATAGACACAAACGCACGTCACAGGTCCAAAACCGCAGAGACTGCGCCAAATCTGCCGGCATTTTGGGAGATATGACGCCCAACCTGACTCGCATGCACGTGTGTTGTCTGCGATTAACGGCGTTCAAAAACACAGAAGAAACTGGCGGACGTGGGCTTCAAGGTGGTGCCGGGTGCATTGGTAGATTGCGGTCTTCCTGATGTCCGACTTTGGTACAACAGCATCAAGCGCGGCGCCCATACACTCCCCACCGTCAAAGCCATCCTCCACGAGATTGGCGAGGTTCGAAGCATGCGCAAGCAGAACCCAGGTGAGAAGTAAAAGTATGGCGTTTCGCTGGAGTCACCTAGAAAGCAACTTCGTAAAACACGATCATGCCTGTGTTTTACAGTACCTCCCTTTGGTGCCCGAGAATGGGCAGAAGGGGACGGTTTACGTTTGTTTCGGGGTTTCCTGAAAAAATCACATATTCTACAGCTTCACCGTGGCTGAGCCCGGGCTTCGGAAACAGCAGCGTAGATAGGCTACGTTGTGCGGAAGTCTCGCACTGTGGATTTTTTAGTTGTTTGGGGAAGGACAGAGCATTGCGATACCGAGAATACGGTGCTGCCGGTTCTGACGGAGTCTTGTAGCGAGAAGGCGAGACGCCAGGAGTACGCTTTGATTGACGGGTTAGGCCGTCCAACAACAGCCGCTTCGCGAGTCTCCAGTCGCAGTCCCCGATCTTACGCCAGGCTTCGATAGCTTTGCCATATATATGCTGGAACGGAACATTGACACATTGTTTCACGCAACTTGCGAGGGCGTACGAACTTGCATTATATGCTCGAGGGCTTCCACGAAACGAGTCATAATTGCGGGTCACGGCCAAGTGATAGGGTCGTGACTGGCATGGTCCGACATAAATGTAAGCGCCTAGAACGGGGGAGATCCTTTGCCCATTTTCAGG